TATATATATATATATATGTATGTATATATATATATATATGTATATATATATATATATATGTATATATGTATATATATGTATGTATGTATATATTTTCTGACAAAAGTGGAAGCAACAACGGACATGCATGGCTCCACCGTCTGAATTCGAGCTGCGCAATGTAATGGAAGGTCATCACGTAGATGCTGTTAATTTCCACTGCATATGGATTAAATTATCTTATTGATGGAGTAATACTGGAGAAACTGGCACTTGAAACGCTTCCATTTCCCTTGAAGATACCTTTTCGCATGCATGGCTTCTATTTTTTCATGGTACATCAGGTTTTATACATAGATATCTCTGACACCATCTTAAGATTTATTATCTTCTTTTTTGTCTAAGAAAGTTTCTTATATTAATTAACGTCCAAAATTTGGAAATTCTCATCAGTTTCTCTTATCTGCTTCAATGAATAGATTATGTAGAAAGGTTAACTACATGAACATTAGAAGTTAACCACATCCAATAAAAGCATGCTACATTGTCCAGTAGTCAATCATGATACGAAAACTTGCACTCTGATAGAAAGAAAAAGCTACTTGCAAGGCTCCTACAAAGGCCATTTTCTTTTTACAGCACAAGCACCATTGATTACCTCAAGTGGATAGCTCAAGGACAACTAATTTGTTTGGACTGGCCAATGAAAACCTTGCTTTTGATCAAAAGCCTGTTCTCGTTTGACTGTTGAGAAGAGGGAACATCAACATTGTTCTTATTCCCAAGCCTCCACATTAGACAGCAGAGAGAGTGCAACAGAACACGAGAGTCTGTTGAGTTCGGTCGGAGGATAATGCCATCAGGTAAGCCTTTGTTTAGGGGATGACAAAGGAACGCCAATCCACTTGATTTCATTTCCAGCCTTGGCTTTCACATCCTCAGTAATGACCTGGAGTTGAAAGAACATTGGCTGCATCAGTCCAAGCTTGGAATTTGGTCATTCTTCCTCAGGAAGGGTGAGAGGTTGCTGATAAATAGCATGCAGCTTAAAATGGAGAAAATTGTCACAAAATAAACCAGATTATTAGGCATTATAATGTGAAAATAACTTCTACTGTCTGTCAAGCTAATCAGCTTAAACACAGGACAACATCTGAAATTAAGCTAGCTTGAATTACTTTGGACCAAAAGCTATTCAATTATGTTTACAGGCGAGATGAAACTGAAATGAAAACATCAGCTTAAACTGAGGTGGCACCCGCTGCTCACTCCACTTTCTCCCTCATAGGCCGCTACTTGTTCTCCTGTGAATGCCTCTGCTCAAACCCGTGAGGAGTTATTGGCACTTATTTAATGACCCTAGATTCTCACCTCCTGAGGTCAGAGTGAGACAACTGATGGTGCCTACTGAGGCATTTCTTAGTCTCACCCATCAAATGTAGGCATTGGTAGGAATAATGTTGACCATTACACCCCTCATCTCTCAGCTAGCCCAATAGGTGGCTCCGGACGATTGTATCCACTTACCATTAGGCAGTGAAGTTCCCGACTTGAGCCATGATCGGGGAGGTAAGGAGCAATCCTAGAGAATCAAGGCAATGTTACGTGACGGTAGTCTTGCTACCCAAAAAACTGAAGCCAGAGCTACTGCTAGCGGATCCTCGAGACAACCAAAACACCTCCTCATCCCGAGTCAACCGAGCAAGTGCTGGAAGTCCCCCTCGATAAGAACCGACCTGACAGGGTCATTAAGGTCAGGTATGCTCTTCTAGAAAAAGACCAAGTTCAACTCATCAATCTTCTTGCGAAAACGCTGATGTGTTTGCTTGGTCTCCTAAAGACATGCCAGGAATCGACCCAAGGGTCGCACAACACCAGTTAGATATCTCTCCTAAGCCTTGTCCTATGAAGCAAAGGACATGAAAGTTTGCCCCTGATTGACAAAAGGCAATTAGCGACGAGATGGACTGACTACTAGAAGCATGATTTATAACTAAACTAAACTACCCTCAATGGCTGTCCAATGTAGTTCTAGTCAAGAAATCTAATGGAAGCTGGAGGATGTCTGTTGATTATATCGACCTCAATAGGGCATGCCCAAAAAACTGTTATCCCCTCCCGAGGATAGATCAATTGATAGATGCCACCCACCTAAGGATATGAACTCCTCATGTTCATGGATGCCTTCTTAGGTTACAAACAACTCTAGATGGCTCCCCATGACCAAGAGTATACTGCCTTCATCACCGACCAAGGAGTATATTGCTACAAGATCATGCCCTTCAGCTTAAAGAATACCACAGCCACATATCAAAGGATGGTCAACAAGATATTCAAGCACTAGATTGGGAAGAACATGAAGGTAGACGTCGATGACATGATTGTAAAAAGTAAAGCAGTCGACACACACTTAGCAGACCTGGTTAAGACATTTCGAACACTCAAGAAGTTTGATATGCAGTTGAATCCTTCCAAATGCATCTTTGAGGTTAGCTCTGACAAGTTCCTTGGCTTCATCATCCATTAGAGAGGGGTGGACACAAATCCCGAGAAGATCCGGGCAATAACCAAAATGTAGCTACCCCACTTGATCAAGGAAGTTCAACGCCATACCGGAAGGCTAATAGTGCTCAATCGATTTCTATCTTGGTCGGGCATTAAATGCCTCCCCTTCTTCTGAGCTCTGAAGCACTCCAAGGACTTTGTGTGGACCTCGGAAAGCAAGGAAGCCTTCGAGAAGCTGAAGGTGCACCTTGCCTAATTGCCCCAACTCACCTTGGCCAGTCCAATCAAGCTGCTCAGCTTGTATCTTGCAGCCTCAGGCCATGCGGTCAGCTCGATACTAATACGGGAGGACAAAGAACACAACAACCCATCTACTATACCAGCCACATCTTAAACGAGCCCAAGAAGTAATACCTCCTCATTGAGAAGCTAGTACTAGCCCTAGTGCAGGTGGCAAGGAAGCTACGATCGTACTTACAAGCCCACATAATAAGAGTGGTTACTAACCAACCACTTCGACATATCCTCTCCAAATTTAATGTCTTTGACTATATGCTCAAATGGTCGGTCGAACTTGGAGAATTTGACATCTAATACTTTATAAGAAATGTCATCAAGGGCCAAGTGTTGGCCGACTTCAACTTCGAACTGGCCCCTATAGAAGCAACCGACAACCAAGGGTGTGCCAATGAAAATGGACCTTATATGTCGACGGATCGACCAATGCAGTAAGAGAAGTGGGGCTCATCTTAAAGGGGCCAAACAACCAGCTATATGAGCATGCCCTCTGATTCAAATTTAGAGCTACCAACAATGAGGCTGAGTACAAGGCACTATTGTCGAGGCTTTGACTTGCGCTGGAGTTGCATGTGAAAGAGCTGGAGGTTTTCAGCGACTCGCAACTAGTGGTAAGCGACATTGATGGAAGCTATGAAGCTTGAGATGCAACCATGGTGAAGTACTTGGCCGAGGTATGCCAACTCGCAAGTGCATCCTCCGTTTCTCAATAACAAGGGTTCTTGGGCAGAGAACACATAGGCCGACACATTAGCTAAGCTAGCTTCGGCAAGGTCAACAAGGGAGTTCCCATTGAAGATCAAGACACTCACCCCCCGGACCATTACAGCCTAAGATATCGTCGTAGTAGAAATTATGCTGAACTGGATGGAAGAGATCCTTCACTACAAAAGGGACGGGATACTGCCGATCAATCTGATTGCATCTCATCGACTTAGACATGCCCAAGCCTAGTACTACAAAATCAATAGCTAGCTCTAATGCAGGTCCTTCAGCCAACTGCTCCTTCAATGCTTGGTGCCCCCGGAAGCCAAGATAGTATTGGCCGAAGTCCACTAAGGCATTTACAAAGTGCACATTGGCAAACGAACTCTAGCCTTCAAGATCCTTAAGTAAGGCTACTACTGGCTGACCATGCATCGAGATGTTATAACATACGTGCAGCGATATCAATAATGCCAGAAGCATTCCTGGGTGCAACATCAACTTGTGATCCCCCTAACCATGATCGATAGTGCCTGTCTCTTCACATGATGGGGAATGGACCTCCTCGGCCCATTTCCCCCTACCCGAGGACAACGAAAGTTCCTTATAGTCGAGGTTAAATACTTCACAAAATGGGTGGAAGCCAAACCACTGGCTTCTATCTCAAAAAGGCAAGTGGAATGATTTGTTTAGGGAAACATAATTACACGATTTGACAGACCAAGGGCGATCATGACTGACAATGAAACTCAGTTCAATAACTCCAAATTCAAGGAATTCTATCAATCATATGGAATCCAACTAAAGTTTAGCTCGATTGCATATCCCCAAACCAATGATTTGGTCGAGGTGACTAACCGAGCCATACTCGAAGGTCTTAAGAAAAGGGTCATTGAAGCCTATTGTCATGGACTTAGCTGGTTTTGCCTAAATCGTGCAGCACCCTTGCATGTCCGTCCATAAAGGATAACCTCCCCAAAACCTCCTATAGTCCCTTAGGACCTATAAAACAGAAAATAAGTTAAAGAAAGCATCTCATTTAGGATCCATAAGCAATCATTTCAGGAAATACTTCATAACCAATGTAAATTACAAATAGACTTTACAAGCTCTAAACAATCGCACAACAAAGGATCCAAAATGGTCCACTATAGATCGAAATCTCTCACAAGTGTCCACATGACATAACCTTTATTTACAAACCTAAAATGACCACCAAACCTAACTAAACTAGGGTTCTTAAACCTTCGACTGTCCCTCTACATACTATGCAAAGCATGAACAAACCAAAATACACAAATATACATGAGCATTATATTAAACACCATGCTTATAGTTTTGTCCGTGACATTCTTCCCACTTATTCCTTCGATGTCCTCATTGAAGCCTTTGCCGACACTACAACTCCTCGCCTTTGATGAGTCTTCAATCTTTTGCTCTAACTGTAATGCGCCTCTTGGCTCCCAACTGCTCTCCGTTGTTGTTGTTGAGTAGTTGAACTTTTGATCCGCTATGCTGCTTCAACTCGCCAATGATTTTGACTCTAGTGTGGGGTTGGTTGAGTTATGTTGATCCCTATTGGTTCTTACGGATCTTTCAGATAAAAGAAAAGACTATCCTTACTATGCGCTAGTCTCTCAAATGTCTTATGCTACTTGAACTAGGTGGATGCTTGTTCGAGCTTTAACGAGCATCGACTCGTAAACTTTTGAAGTTTTGGGTCCTTCCTCCACAAAATTTACCCATCGACTCTTCTTTCACTTAGTTGTCACTTCCAAGTAGATTCACATCACTTTCGCTTTTGATTGATATTATGTTGAGAAATAAAGCAGATAATATACTCTCAATAGCACTGATCACTATCAGTGAGGATTTGACAACTATTGTCTTCCATTTGGTTTCTTTGAAGGGTCTTTGAACATATATATAGCTCCTCTACTAGATAGATAAGAAAATTAGGGTACTCGATTTCGCTCATTCTTTTAGGAGTTGAGAAAGTAAAGATTCTTGACTTCGCTCATATCCTCGAGGGTTGTACTCCATGCATCGAGCTGGTTACTAGCCTTTGCCTATTCTTTGCTCACACTTCTGAAGTACTTAAAGTGTTTGCATTCCTTACGTTGAGTTAGTTATTGTGATTCACCTTCTCAATACCATCGAACTTCTGGAATGCAGGAAGTTTTCACCCCAACTTAGAGTAAATCTCTAATAGTTTTGGTCACATCTAGGATTGTACCGTCTTCTCCATCAACCCTACAGCCAACTCAACTGAGTAGCAAAGGTACAACATTACATACTGCTTACTTCGTTCCTTAGTCATGCACTCTTGCATTGACCTGAAGTCCTTCATTTTTAGCTATCTTGATGAGAAGCTCGTTGACACCAGTCTTACGAAGTTCCTTGGCCTTTGCCCTTCAGCCTTGTCTCGGTACTTAAAGTTTG